AGCACAGGCTCCGGACGCGCAGGCTCAGCGGCCATGGCTCACGGGCCCAGCCGCTCCGCAGCATGTGGGATCTTCCCGGACCGGGCCATGAACCCGTGTCCCCTGCATCGGCAGGCGGTCTCCCAGCCACTGCGCCACCAGGGAAGCCCGTTTGGCTGTTTCTTATAAACATAAACCTATTATACAACCCAGTCATTCCACTATTAGGTATTTATCCAAGTGTGAAATTTGTATTCACAAAAAAACCCATACATGACTGTTTATAGCAGCTTTATTCATAATTGCCAAAACCTAGAAATAACCCAAATGTCTTTCAACAGGTGAATGGATAAACAAGTGTCCTATATCCACACAATGAGTTTATCCACACTCAACAGTAAAAAGGAATGAAGTAGGTTCATGCAACAACATGGACAAATATTAAACGTATTTTGCTAAGTGATAGAAGCTAGACCTTAAAATCTACATATTGTATGGTTTCATTTATATGACATTCTGAAAAAGGCAAAACTATAGGGGTGGAAAACAGATCAGTGGTTGGCAGGTTTGGGGAGAGGGAAGGGGTTTACAACAAAGGAGCTGTACAAGGGAATTTTTAGGATAATTTTTCTGTATTGTACTATGGTGATGGATACATGACTGTATTCATCTGTCAAAACACACACACACAAAGCTGTATAGCACAAAGGGTGGCTTTTATTATATGCAAAATTTTAAAAAATTCACCAGGCTGTCAGGGGAACCCACAATAAAATGCAGATTGTAAAAAATGAATCTAACTGCTTCACAAATGTATGATATAATCTCACTGAAGGGAGTGGGGGAAAAAATGAGCTGGCCTAAGTAACTTTGGAAAACAATGTTTTGCTTGAAACTGTAAGATAAAGACACAAAGAAGTGAAAACAAACACTGCATTCTAGTTGGTAAATTTGTAGGGCATACTTGAATTGAACAAATAAGTAAATATATTACAGGTAGGGAGAGGCAGATTTCTTGCTGTCAGAGAAAGAAGTGACAAATAAGCAAGTAGAAAAGGAAATATAGACGTGTACATACATAGGCTAGTATACATATATACTTCCTAACTCTGTCCACTGGAGGGTCTAGCAGCAATCATGGTCCAGTAGCAGTGAATGCACTTAACTCTCAGACCTTGGTTTCTAAACTTGGTAGACACCACCTTAACCATGTGATCAAGGTCAACTCACCATTAATAAGTTATACTCTGCTACATGATCGAGGAGAAGGGTACTTCACCGCCGTGGTATTCTTCCCCCAAATCCACAACCCCAGTCTTATCATAAGAAACATCAGAAAACTCAAGTTGAATGACGTCCTACAAATACCTGACTGGAACTCTTACAAGTGTTAAAGTCATGAAAGACAAGGGAAGACTGGAGAAACTGTCAGACTGGTGGAGACTAAGAAGACATGATGACTAAAATATAACATGATGCCTTGGATTAGATCATAGTACAAGAAAAGGGCATTAGTGGAAAAAATGGTGAAATGGAAAACAAGGAAGTCCATATTTTAGTTAATAGTATTGTAGCAATGTTAATTTCTTAGTTTTGATAAATGTGCCATGGTTATATAATTAACATTAGGGGAAGCTGGGTGAAGGGTATACAGGAACTCTCTGTACTATCTTTGCAACTCTTCTGTAAGTTATGTCAAAACAAAAAATAATTTTAAAACATGGACAAAGCTGGAAGTGAAGGCATCTAGGCTCATTCCACTTAAATAAATGTGCCTTTGTTCCTTTTTCTACAAAATGGACATAATATAAAGCATATGCTACTGTAATTGTTCTGGATATCTGTCTGTTTTCTGCATTGTTCTGTTAATGTATGTACTCAGTCTCTCCTATCAAACTGAAATCACTTTGTCTTTAGGAAAATATAATTAAATCCTTTGTATTCACCCTAGTTCTTGGCACGAGGCCCAAGATAAAGTCAGGTTATCGATGTTACACTTGATGATATGGTTTCAGTGCATGTCTTTATAAAATGTTGAGTGAGGTTTTTTCTGTGGTTCAGGAATGGAGACTAAGGCTTAAAGCTAAGTATCAAAGGTGTAAAAACAACCCACATTCTGAGTTCAGAGCACCACCAGCTGTTAGGAGTCTGCCAACACCACTGAAGGCTTACTGAGAGTAGGAAAATTAGTCCTACCATGTACTGCTCTCCACCACATCGCATCCCTTCTCCACAGGAGAGGACTGAGATGTGATTGCGGTTAGCCTTTGAGGATATGCTGGTCAGGAAGAGAGTTTCTTTCCTCCTTCACTGCCACCCATCCCCAGGGTTGCTAACCATCTCTTCTGCAGAGTACCTGATGCCCCAGTAAAAGGAGAAAGAGCAGTGTGTTGCCAGAATTGAGAGAAAGGGCTGTGGAGCAGATGGCCACCCACCGTTGGCCATGGCAACAATAAAAGTGTCACCAGGAGAAGGCAACTGGACATGGGTCATTTTGTTGGCACCACCTCAACAGGGTGCCAAAGCAAGAGGCCTCTAGGATAAATCTGTGAGGTATAGACCATCTGAGGTGGTTTCACAAACACTTGGGTGGGTGCTATAGACTGAACATTTGTGTGCCCCCAAAATTCATATGTTGAAACCTAATCCCCATTGTGAGAGTAGTAGAAGGTGGGGCCTTTGGAAGTGATTAGGTCATGACGGTTGAGCTCTCGTGAATGGGATTAGTGCCCTTGTAAAAGAGGCCCAAGGGAGCTCCCTCACCCCTTCCGCCCTGTGAGGACACAGCAAGAAGATGGCTGCCTAGGAAGCAGGTGTCAGGCTCTCACCAGACACCAAATCTGTGAGTACTTTGATCTTGGACTTCCCAGCCTCCAGAACTGTGAGAAATAAATGTTTGCTGTTTAAGTCACCCAGTCTATGGTATTGTTGTCATAGCAGCCCAAGCAGATCAAGACGGTGGGATAAAGACAGATTTTTACAGGAGCTATTAGCTCTCTCATACCCGGTAGCTATATTTTGGGTAGACTTCTTCATTGCTCTCAGATTCACTCTACATGTGACCAGCATTTAAATTCCTGCCACACAAGAGGGTACCACATCAGTCTGATATTGATGGCCAGTAAAGGTTGGCCTGGGAAGCAACAATAAGCACAGAGGGCGGATGGCAACCTCACTCAGTCAAGTAAGGAGAGATTTGTATCAGATGTGAGATGAAGATTCAGACAGAACTGAAAAACACTGGCATGTAAGGATTGTCATAACCAAGAGACAGTTACGTAGTCGAACCCAAGTCCATGTGCCCGACATACAGTGAGGCCAAACAAACTGAAACGTCGGTGTTTGGAGCAGAAAAAGGTTTATCGCAAGGGCTATGCACGGAGAATGGGTGGTTCATGCTTGGAAGACCTGAACTCCCCAGTGGTTTTCAGGGGAATGAATTTAAAAATTCATTTTAAATAAATGAATTTATTTATTTGTTTGTTTCTTTGTTTATTTTTGGCTGCATTGGGTCCTCGTACTGCTCACAGGCTTTCTCTAGTTGCAGTGAGCAGTCTTCTCTTTCAGGGAAGTGTTTTGTTCTGTTTTGTTTTGTTTTGGCTGCACCGCTTGGCTTACAGGATCTTAGTTCCCCAACCAGGGACCGAACCTAGGCCACAGCAGTGAAAGCGCTGAGTCCTAACCACTGGACCACCAGGGAATTCCCAAGGAAGAGTTTTTAAAGGCAATATTTAGGGTGAGGGCTGCAGGGTGTACAACTTTCTTTGGACTAGTTGGTGGTGAGGTAAACAGGGTGGTGTTCCAGGAATCTCAGTCATCAACCTTCTGGTTCTCACCAGTCTGGCGTCTCAGCATGTATTTACCATCCTCCAACTGGATGGGGGTCTTAGTTCCTGCAGAACTCGAAAATATGTATCAGATTGTTATGTGTATTCCCTGAGGCAGAACTAGGACTCTGTTCTATCACTGAATTACTGTTTCTTGACTGCTTTTCTTGTGTTTCTGCATTCTTTAATTAGTAACTGCTTGAATTTGAATCTGTTCTTTGGAACTCAGGGAAGGCCTAGGAGACTAAAGCCTTCTTCTATAAACCAGAAGTGTGGGGGGATATCTTTTGTACCTGGGAGGGGCCCACAGGATCCTGCTCAGTGTCAATCCCCCCTTTTCTTTGATACTCCTCAATCTTGAAGGGAACAAGGGCCGGACAAGAAAAGGAATAAAGTTTTGGATAGAGAGGTTAATCATAAACTCAACAGAGGAACTCAGTTTTAGGGGGACTCAAACCCAGCCAAAACCTAGATGGGACTTGAACCCATGGTCTCTTT